ACTAAACTTAAAAATATTCAACTTAAGTATTAAAGGGCATAGCAAAGCACTCTTAAGTCCAATTTAAAAATAACACCAAATGAAGTCTTTTTGATATTTTTACATGCTTAACATTTAAGAGAAGCAACAGGCTTTCAGAGTCACAACTGGCTCTACATATCTAGTATTTTATTTAAGTCACCTACCATTATAGTAAAAATTAAATTAATATCTTAAGGGAAACTCCTGATTTGCCACATAAAGAACAACTGACAACACATCTCACATATTTATACTGAACAGTAACTAGGATTCTTAAAATAATGTTGACTGAGATTTTCCTTTCTCATAATCTAAGTTTATATTATATAACACTGCTTGAAAACTTTCTGGATACCTAGGGTTGCTAAAATAAGAGACTCAAATACACAATACTATAAATGTACCTAATTTGGGAACTAGTTAATAAAAATTAAAGTTAATTCACTCTGGCCTACTCATTTCAAGCAAGAACAAAACACTACATATTTTTCCACAACATTAAGCTTACATTAAAATTTAATTAATACATATGTGGTAACTTCCTGTTGCCATAGAATGGGAAAGCCAAATCAATTTTATAAAACAAAATTACAATCCCTTATTCATTTAACACTAATAAAAATAAAGGTACTTTTTAGCAACTACACATTTTGCATACTATAAATATGCTTAAACTTTCAAAGATTATATGATTTTGCATATTACCATAAAACACTAATAAATATAGAAACTGAAATTATTGACTAAGATTTACCAGAGTATATTTATGATTAATTGGTTGATGTCTTCTCCCTTTTTTCCCATACCAGAGACGAGACATTTCCTTTCCAGGGCAAATTAAGTTACATCAAATCTCGTAAGAACTGCTTGAAAAATCATTCTTCCTCTGTCAAAGATAAATTTTCAGCACAAGAGCCTTACTACAGTGACAAAATAGTTTGCTAGAGACAAAGATTTGATTGACAAGGCAGGGAGCTAATCACTAAGTAGTATCCACTGCAAAGAATGTCCTGAATGGAGACTGTAAAGCTAGGGAGGGAAGAGAGGGCTTCCCATGTTTAAGTTTGGTTGCACTGCACCCAAATGTGCTAAGAAAGGGCTCCAAAGTTTAAAGACACAGAGCATGTATTTCCAAACAGCAGTAAACAGAAGAAATGTACTAAAAATAATTCAGTCATAAAAAAGTAATAGTTTCCAGAGTCCCTTCCAAATTACACAAATGATTTCAATTTACATTTTACTATTTGCTGATAGTTATAAAATTCTGGTTTTTTAATTTACATATAAGGTTTCTATAAAATGCCACCTTTTATATCAGCAGTTTTTAAGCAAAAAGAGAACCCTTCATCTTTCAAACTTCATAGAAAGAGTATGTAAAAATAAAGCTAATCTATTATAAATAAGTCTTATACAAATATTCAAAACAATCTATTTCACTATTATATTTCTGTATTATAGTTATAAACTGTAATTATTGAAGCTCAGTTTCACTAGTATACCAATGCCACAGCAGTACAACTATTTCTTCCATTTTATGGTAAACCTGTTCCTTCCCCTTTACCCGTGTGAATACTCAATGCCTCTTGACACATATACCACCTTCTGGTACACACAACACTATGCCCCAACCCCATCTCCTTCTACCACTGTGCATACACAGGACACCCTCCACCCCACAGTAAACATCCTCTTACATACACCAGTCATCCCCCTGACTTACCATCTATACCCACCACACTGACCCTAAGATTCCTCCTCCCAACAGTCCCTTATAAGCAAGTCATCACCCATTTCCATCCTGGCCTTCCTACACTCAGTCCCATTACCATACACTGTATTGTGGTCACAGGCCTCTCCCCCTGAACAACTTCACTCCCTCTACACAGACCAACATTATTCAATTTGGTGGTAGTGCAGTATTATCATTTCCAGCCATATTTTCTAAAATTAAATGTATGTATGCCAAAATCTGATTTAAATGAGATTTTCGACACACACACACACACACACACTCCCCCGTGCAGAGGATAGCTTAGTCTATTTTGTTGGTTGCCTACTTTATATCCATCCCCACATTTTTTTCGTAAGACAGCTTGATCTAAGCAGATCTAAACCAGTGGCTTTCAGATCAAACCAACAGTCATATCAACATTAGTTAAAACACAGACCACTGGACTCCAAAACCAGTTTCTGATCAAGCATACTAGATAGGGACTGAGACTGTGTATTTAAAAATTTCTATATGTGCCTAATGAGAGGGGGGCCACACTTTGAGAAACAACTGGTTTAAACTATTTTCTTGTGGTTTTCTATTTCTTGAAGTCAAATGCTTCCTTACTGATATACAAAACAGAAAACAGATATAAAAGCTACTACATCTCCTGCCTACCTGTACTTTATTCGGTGTCTACTTTCTCTATGAATTGGGATTAGTCCACTAGAAGTAATAATATACAATATTTAAAGTAACATTTTAGAATTTTAATATTTAAATCATAAAATAACCAGCATTCACCCATCTAGTCTCTTCTCATTTAAAGGATATTAAAACTATATTTTGAAATTCCAAATAGACTTTTGAATTGTTAAGGGAAATTTCATAGTCCTTATCTTTTGGCTGTAAGTGAGAGAGAATACTACCAAGAATGTAAAGCATTAGTTAAAAACTTTGCTGAGGTAGGTAACATCCTAACTTAGCATCATTAATATTCAAAAGAGACCATATTGGGGCATGTTTATGGAGCCAAATACTAAAAGAAAATACGTGAATGATGGAATTAGAATACTACAATAAAGCATAATAGCTATAATGATGCTGTATTTTTACTTGAAAAATTGCTTAGAGGGCAGAGCTTATGCAAAGTAATAATAATAATGAAGGTAGAGAAAACATGGAAAGATGGATATGGATATGTTTATAGTATACATTGTGGTGGTTGCATAGATGGATAGTTATCTCCAAACTCATCAAGTCATAGACACTAAATCCACAGCTTTCTGTACATATTATAATAAAGTTGTTTATAGGCTCTCCCTGGTGGCACAACAGGTTAAAGTGCAGCACTATGAAGCTGCTTGCAGCCACTGCAGCAGGAAGTTGGATCCCCCTCTAGGGAGGGGACCCACATGGCCTACCAGACCTCTCCTGTCTTTCCCACTGCTCGCCTCATCAGTGTATTTCAGTACATCTGCCTGTTCTGCTCCCCACTCTGTCTCTGGTGAATCCTCTCACCCCCTGCACCTCTGGCCTGTAACCATATTCTGTATGCATAAATAAAATAAATCTTAAAAAAAAACAATTATAGTAATATTATATAAGGCAGTATATATAACTATAAGTTCTAATTGTTTTTAAAGCTTTGATTCTAACTTTTTCAGATATATTAATTTCTCTAGGAACGATGATCACTTGAGCAATGTAGAAAGAAGGATGCTGTTCTTTAATTGCCTTTACCTGAGGAATGTGACCTTTTTTACTGACTTAGACATAGACGTTTAATAATTATAATCATTATTTTCAAATCTATGGTCTAATTCCACTGGAAAGAAATTTCCCAATTCCTTACTTTACTGAAAATACCACAAACCACTTTCCCACCCAACTGAGAAACGTCACCAAGTTGTCCCTAAATCCTGTCTCTATTCCACTATACTTTGAACTATTGCTACCTTAGTATAGGTACACATCTTTAATCACTTGGGTTATTATAAAAGTCTCCTAAAGCTAACTTGAAACTCATGGAGGTTATTTTACGTATGCAAAAAAACCAATCACTCCAAATAAAATATATTCTACATAAAGTTCCTTCTTGCCCCTATTCCCTCCCCCTTCACCTACAGAAAAAATTATTCTGATGAACTTTTGAATGGTTTTTGTCCTTTTGAAATTCATATAATGGCATTATACAGTGCAAGCTTATGTCAGCTTGGCATTTTTTATTAAACATTTTATCTATGAGGACATCCATGCTGTTTGAAATTTTTTGACAATTCCAAAATTTATTTTTCCATTTTCCTGCTGAGGGTCATTCAAGTTGTTCCCAGTTTGATGTTGAGTATTAAAAGAACCCCAGTATGTTAACTCTTTCTCTTGTTATAATGGCATTACATTAGAAACTGATGCTGTGTATACTACACAGAATGGACACAGAAACATTCAAAATCAGGTTCACATTTTAAACAAAAGACATATCATGTATACCTTTAATCATTATACATGTTAAAGACATGGACAAAATAATCCATATCACATAAACTATGAACATTATCACCACATGAATAATACAACTTGATCCCATTTATCATCACATTTTAGCATCTGCTCTGTATTTTCTAACATTTCAAGAAGAGATTAATCCAGGCAATAATAAAATAGAAGTCAGCATCCTATTAATCCCATAAGGGTGCAAATTCTATATAATATTAAAATTTGTATCTAAGAGGGGCTATAAAAGTTGTTTAATATTAATCTAGCCATTTAGACAGGCTCAATAAACTGGAGTAAATAAAATTTTTGCTACTTTGTAAAATTTGTATCAGTTTATTTCCCTAGTATTATTACTGCTGAGATCAAGTCAAGGTAATCACTGAGTATAGATTTAGAAGAAAGTGCTAATCTCTTTAATTTGTTAAGTGACTACAACACCTCCTAGATATGTAAGTTATCTAAATGACTTATATTTAAAATTAATTCAATATAAAATGTTTTATGAAAATTAGGATAACAGCAATTAATATTATTCTAAAAAGCACTGAAAACTCCATTTTATTGTTAATAGGTTGTTTCACTAGTATTAAAAACCAAAAGAAGAATGATTAATAATAAACCAGTTACTAATCAGCATTATTCAAACATACAGCTATACATGGATTGTAAACCTGAATCTTTGTACAAAGATCAACTGTACTTTTTTTTTACTACCATAGAGGATAATTTCATACAAAGTAAAAATGAGATTTACACATTTCTTTTTTCTTACCTCCCATTCTCTGGCTGCTGCTTCATTAGTAGAATCTTCATTTGTTTCAGACTCTTCAATCTTTTTTACTACTATGAATCCAGGTTCTCTAGTATATTCACCAGTATCCTCTGCATATATTTCTGGACTCCACTGAATAAAGAAGGCATACAAGTGCTCCGTTCTGTTAGAATAAGTAACTATTAGTAATACACCTGGTATTCTTCTAAATTTTAGTAATTTTAGTTAAGTAAAGTCAATTTACAACACTGCTTATATTTTAGGGGTATAAATTCACACTTCTTCAAATACCATATCCAACACCAAAGTGCCATTAACCCTCCAAAGAGTTTACTGAGGCCCCTTCCTCCTCTGCTTCCCTCTGCATTCCAACACCACCTCCCCTCCCCACCACCCCCCAGCAACGAGGTAGCTTCAATTCTACAGTGTGATGCCCAGGGCTTGCTTATAGACCCAGTATTCTGTAGTGCTAGCTATAATAACAAAATTATTTTTGTTAGGTGTCTTGATAAACTTGAAAACTTACCACTCAATACACTATGTCGTCTTTTGATTTAAAAGGATAGCACAAAAGGGTACTACCAAAATATAATAACTTCAAGAAATTATTTGGCTCTGTATATAAGAAACTGCATAAAGATTTTCTTTTGGCATGGCTGAGATACTTTGGCATGGCTGAGATACTTTGACTGGCTGAGATACTGTCCACAGTAATAATGGCTTTTCTTTAGAAAGAAGTGAGAGAAAAGGGAATTGAACCTGCAATTCTGACCTCACTCACACCTGACAATGAAAAAAATACATGTAAATAACGTATTAGCTGCTTATTTTGAAACCTGTACACTGTATGGGTATTTTCCAAATAATAGAAATTTAATGTTTTTAACTTTTAAAAAATAATAAGTGTATTATTTGTTGAAGGACTATTTTCTTTTTTAAGTATCTTACTCTCCTTTTCAGTTTACTATTGTAAAGTTTATTGTAGCAAAAAAATATGGAACCACTCATAAATGTATGTGCGAATCAAAAATACATTTCAAATCTCTGTTTTATTTCACAGACTAATGGAAAATTCACAATAAAATTCTCAAATAACATATGCCAATCAATAATAGTGGTTCTAGAATTTATTTTCTTTAAGTATCTTTTCTTGTGTGGCAGCTAAAATAATATTAAAAGGATATTAAAATTCACCTTTGATATTGTTTACTTCCAAAACAGCAACTTTTATTAATTAAAATGTATACAATAAAGTTCAAAATCCCATAAAACTATTTTTAATAAACATTAGCCAAAGTGCAAGGAACAATATTAAAACAGAAAATTCCATGTACAAATGAAATAAACCTAAGAGTTATCAGAAAATCAAATTCCGTGTGTCATTTTTAACTAAAGATTAAACATGGTTGATTTTTTTTAAGCAGTCATAAAAACAGCATAGGCAAATCTGAATATCTGGCTCTTTCAGTAACTCATTACTTATGCAGAACACATTGTTTTAAAATTAATACTTTGTTGAATACACACATTGAAATGTATTTTGGGGTAGGCTAGAAAATTTTATCATTATGTTCTTGAAAATGGTGTTCTTTATAGAAGTATATACACTCTGAAAGAGGTACAGACACTTCGTTCCAAAAAAAAGTCAGTATTTATAATACAGTAGTGACAGATATCCTTCACAACCTAGTTAAAGTTAATGAAAATTTTATTACGTTGGAGATGAAGAATATTTTGAAGAGCACATTCTTTTAGTGGCTAATTTAATGTGTTTATAGCAAGAATTCAAGTGGAAATTAAAAAAAAAAAAACTAGTCAATATCATTTTAGGAAGTATTCTCTCATTTCAATACCAGCTTTGGGCAACTTAGACATTTTTATACTTTATGACATATGTAATTCTATTTCTGAATGGGTGAGGATATATCTCCCCCCTCCCTTTTTTTTTTTTTTTTTTAGTAAAACAAAAAAAGTTCTTTAGTAAAAGCAGAGACTAGGGAATTCCATAACACATCTTGACCACATTATTCTCAGATTTGATATGAGGGAACAATACATATGGAAAAAATCCACTAAATACTATACACATTAATTACCTTAAGGAAGGAGTCCCATCAGTTAATATTTGATTAACCTTACTGCTTTTAGACATTTTAAGCAAGTTTGTTACTGAAAGTAAGCATCCACTTGCAATCTTTGTACTAATCTAACAGTAAAGTTAAAATGAGGTAACTTGAAAATAATAAAGTAGAAACTAAATGATTCTGAATAAATTTAATGTTAGATTTTAATCAGAAGTATGCTTCAAAGGTGTTTTGCCACCGGTGTTAAATGATATGCAAAATAATTTAAATTTAAGAAATCTTAATACAATTTTTTTGTTGTTTTACCTTTCTTGTGGTACAGCAAACCAATATTCATGTTTCTTATCTCTCTGTGCATATTGTTGCATTGTTGCACTTGCTTGAGATACAAATGTTTTCCTCATTGGTTTTCCAATTCTGAGACATAAGAACTTATGTAATCGATGCCTTTTCTTTTCTTTTAAAAGTGTAGGACCTAAAATTGAGATGCAAACTACATTTATTCAATTCCATAGACTATGCTTAAGTAATGCAAGTTAGGTAATGTTTACCTTCAAATTTCTTACAAACTACTTACACAATAAAATTTCAATTTAGTAAAATAAACCTGAGGTGAATTCAGGTTCACTCAGGTGAATTTGTATTATTTTCCATCAAAGGTAAAGTGACAAACACAAGTTCTAATGAGCTAACAAATTGTAAAATGAATTTATGTCTAAGGGTATCAGCAAACAACATGAATGTTTCAAGAACACTTCTATTTTTAACAACCATACCAGAGTAATTATATATAATTATATATTCATATATAAGTTTCTCTACATTCTCTATCAACCTTTTATAATAACATATAAATAAGCTGATAGAATGTTTAAGGATTTGCTTTGTTACAAAAAATTATTTTTAAAATTCTGAAGTTTTTACAAGCAATGAATTGGTGTGAAAAACAACAAACAATATATTACATTTGGCCACCTGTTTAAGCAGTTTATCAAGTCCAAATTATCTTTAACTCTTCCAACTCAGATAATGATAAATGGTATTGACTGCTTGACAGGATGGTTGAACTCAAGACTGCACACTACCAGCTTTCACAGGTAGCATACCGTGGAAGAAAAAGCACTGAGTTATGGTCAGGAGACCTGTGAACCAGTCAAGTCTCTTTTATTCTATGTAGTAATATGTAAGGAATACATAATCTAGCTTAGTCCCATTTCAAATCTGGTTAAAGTGGAGCTTTTACCATTCTTTCTACATAATCTAGCTTTATATTTTGTTACAGTTTTATTATAAGGTCACTATAGATCAGAAATATAGAATATGTTTCTGTCATAGACGCTCATGCTATTTAAAATTACTTAAAACTAATTCTCACCTTTCCTGTTCCAACCCCAACCCCTACAATAGAAAACTAATATAAGTAATCTAGGGATCCCTATCTATAAACATCTACTATTTTTTTTTTTCCTTTTAGTGCTTTGCTATAATGTAAGACCTCTACCATCAAGCTCTGTATCACCCCCACCCCCCAAATAACACATAATTCAAAGTAGTCTACCATATTAGCTGGTTAAACAATCACTTAATTTTATCTTTTTCAAAGACTTAAAGATGTATGGCAAAGATATCAAGCAAAGAAATTCACAATGGTATTATTTACAACACCAAAGATAGAAAACAGCTTAACAATCTGAATTGTTAATAACAACTGTTTTGGGCCTCCCTGATGGCCTATGGGTAAGTTTCAGCACTATCACAGGTAAGGCTTGAGTTCAATCTCTGGCCAAGTGTTAACCTACATATTGTACAGCAGACCTCTCCTGTTTCACTTGCTGCTCCCCTTAACAGTGTATTTTAGTGATGTTGCCTGTTCTGTCCTCACTCTGCCGTTGGTGGAGTCTTTCACCCCTCACACCTCTGGCTTATACCAGTGATCTTCTATGTTTATAAATTAAAAACAAACAAAACTGTCTTCACAATATGGAAATGCTTAAATTACAGGGGCCTTTAAAAATCATGTTTTCAAAAAACTATAATGACATAGTAAAATGTCCATGGCATAAAATATTAAGTGAAAAAAGCAGGATATAATATCACATACAGTGTAAACTTTATTTTATATAAAAATACATGTGTACTGAATTACAAGTGATTTCTATAAATTTACTAAAAACTATACTGGGCAAATTTTATAATGAATATTCATTAACTATGAATAAGGAAAAAATGCTATAGGATAGTCTATCATTTTAGACCTCCTTTAATATCTACTTAATATAATCCCTTAGGTCCTGAATATGTCAAATAAATGATAGAAAGAAAACTGTCTTTTAAGAACTGAACCAAATCCTGTGCATTCTCTATTGGTGAGAATGTAAAATAGTTGCAGCCATTGTGCAAAACAATTTGGTGGTATCTCAAAAAATTAAACATATAACCACCAACAAATTCACTTGGAGATATATAGCCAAAGGATCTGAAAGGGAAGACTGGGTCAGATATTTGCAATCCATTGTTAAAAGCAGCATTATTCACAATAGCCAAAAGGCAAAAAAATAAAATAAAATAAAAACCAAAACAAACAAACAAACAAAAAAACAAATGTCTAAAACCAAGGAACAGATAAAATGTCATTTATTTCTACTGGTACAGTATGGTATAATATAATGGGTTACCATTCAACTTTGAAAAGGGGGAAAATCCTGACACATGCTACAACCTACATGAAACTTGAGAGCATTATGCTAAAAGAAACGTCACTTCTAAATTGACAAGTGATGCATGATTCCACTTATGTGGCATATCTAGGATAGTGAAAATCAGAGACAAAAAGTAGGATGGTGATTTCCAGAGTTAGGAGGAGGAGAATGGGAGTTATTGTTTGATGGTACAGAATTCCAGTTTGAGAATATGAAAAACTTCTAAAACTGGATGGTGGTGATGATTATACAACAATATGAATATATATAACAGCAGTGAATTTTACATTTAAAAGTAGTCAAATGGCAAGTTTATTTATATTTTAACAATAAAAATTATTGGAAGCTTATTTAGAGGTTCTAGTAGTTACTCATATACCCTTGACCACAGAACAGTCAGCTTCTATTTAGAAATGCCGGCTGTCTTCAACCGAGCTTGCAGTTTCAGGAGAGATGAATGAGGAATGTTGAGGGAGGTAGGCCAGATTAGCCAAATCAACCCTGGCATTCAATGAGGTGAATATGTCATGACCAGATCACCCTCATATCCAATAAAAAATTTTTGAATGAAAACTTCATATGTAAATTGAACTAATCTTTACCCAATATTCTTACAGAATATAAGAATATTACCTAAGATATCTGAGCATTACCTCACTTAATCCAGAATGTATTAATAAAGGCATAGCATATTATGAATAAAAGGTAGGCTATAATAATAATTTTCATAAATAAATAGTACAAAGAAGAGAAGGAAGTCACATTTTATCTTGTTACTTTTAAAGGCAAACACTTAATTTTAGACAATGAATACTTGGAAAAGCTATAGAAATCAATTTTTATCTAATTAAACTTTTCTAAAATGATGGGATTACAAGTTTAGAATTATAAATTATAATTAGGGTATTATATATGCAAACAAAAAGTAAGACATGTTTAATGAGGTAACAGATCAAAAGCTGAAAGAAAAGGAAAAATAAAAGGTAGTACAGAGCTTATAGGTATATTGAGGCTCTTCCAAAAGGACAGAATCAGTAGTCAGGAGTGTGTGAACATGGTAGAAAAGATGTGTGCAACCCACTGTGGAGTACAAAAGTAAAGACATTAGAATCCAGAGAATATATACTTACCCCAAGGGAAACGTCAGTCAAGGGTCAACATAATATTTCAGTGACCTAAAGCCTTTTGAGTGAGCAGAAGAAAAGGGAAACATGCACTAAGATGCACTAACTTTACATACTCTATCCCTCTTACCTTCTCTATCTGCAGATGCTATTTTATGCTTAATTTCTTTTTGTGACACCTGTTGAATATTTTCCCTTTGTTGTTTAGTTTGTTGCATAGTATGAGTTTTCCAGAGTTTCCGTAGCTCTTCTACCTCTGTCTCTGAGTCCTGATTTTGATCCTTTCCTTGTTTGGCTTTGTGGACAGTTAGCTTTTGTTTAAATTCTGCTGCTTCTCTACAAGGCATATTTTCTTGTATAGCCTCTTGCTGTGGTGAATTCTCCTTAATATCCTGGTCTGTGTTACCTTTTGTACTTGTACTTCTTTCTTTCAGGTTTGATATTTCTTGTAAATTTTCTGTAGCCTGACCTCCTTCCTTAGTGGCCACTTCAAGATTATTTACATCAGTTTTTTGAGGAACAGTTCCACCTTCATTTGTGGACTGTCCAGAAGAGGATTTTAAGTGATTAGGCATACCAGAAGACTCTGGTATAACCGCCAAACATTCTATTTCAGTCTGATTGACAGTTTTCACAGATTCTGATGACGCACCAGATGATTTATCTTGTCGCAGCTCATCTGAAGAGATAAGCTCCTCTCGAATAGGGGAGAGTTCTGATTCAGTGAACACATCTTCAGAGAGAGACTCCTCTGTGCTCCTAGGAGCAGTGCTGGCACTATCATTACCTGCATCACGGATTCTTGAGTCTATTTCATCAGTATTACTTCTCGTAATTTTCTTTAAATGGCAGAAGTCCTTTCCTGAAATCTGAGCTAGCTCTCTGTTAGCAAATAAAATTAAAAGTTATTAGACTTTCAAAACTGTTTAATTGCTCATATTTTCCCACAAAACAATGAATATCAATAAAAAGATTTTTCTCAAAGGATATAACATCTTTCTTTCAACAGCATATCAAAATCTGACTTACTCTTATAAGCCAACTAAGTGAAAATTTTGTACCAATTGTTTAAGATCTGGGGAACATAAATGTAAGATTTCAAGTAATGTACTTGAACAGTAAGTTGATGACATTAAATTTTGGGTGAAAATATAATTCTAAACTAAAATTTAGTCATTGTCAGGAAAATGAAAAAGATGCTTACATAAAATCTGATAAAATTTTAAAATGCCCCTCATAAAGAACAAATACACTGATATTACACATAGGTATGTATGTGTGTACACACATACATATACACTCCCCCACACACTTATTTATTTCTAAACAGATATTAAACTGAAACATATGTCTAAAATGTAAAGCTGAAAATCAACCTGAACAGAACTGAAATAAAAATACTGAAAGAAGTTCTCCAGGCTACCATAACAACTCTTAATAACAGCTCTGAGAGAATTTGTCAGTGAAAGAGCTAAGATTTTAGATAGTTCAATGTTTCATAATTACATGTAGATCTCCATATATTAAAGCAATTGTAAGCACTTATGTTAAAAATTAGCTAGTTTAAGTTCTGGGAGCTCTGCAGGAAAATATCTATAGCATAAAATACAATTCAGCAACTTAAAATGATAGTTAAAGTAGTCTGTGATAAATAGAAACTACATGAATTTCTACTAGGAAAAATATTAACAATGCAAGTTTGAAAATAAAAAAAAAGCCTGAATTGCAAGTTAAGAAAAATACTTGGCTATCTGGGAATGATGAAGTTATGTAACTCTTCCACTTTTTGGTCATTTAAATTTTTTTTATAATGAATACATACAATTTTCATAACTATGATAGGTAAAATTTACTTAAAAAATATGGATTATTTGAATTACTATTCATATTTCTGCCTGCCTGCCCTCTAGTCACCTCAAAACCCAGCATTTACTTTGTACTATCAAATGTATAATAATGCCATCTACTGGTGAGATACTAAAAAAGCATATATAACATAGAACTTGGCAATAGTTTTGATAAAGTATCTGTATGTTTAGTAAGATCCTTAGGTATGAGATAAAAGCTAACATACTTAACAGTTAGAGTTATAGTTATTTTTAAAGCTAGCAAACCTGACAAGAAGTGCTATAACCCACAGTTATAGTTAACTATATAACCTATACTTAATAGCCTTCAGTGTTAATATGCTGAAAGCCTACATGTTACTTATGCCAACGATGCAGTTATTGTTTATGGTTCCAGAAAAGTATCTTTAAAATCAAGTTCCAGCAGCATAATATAGAAGAAAATTAGTCAAATTTTATAAATCACTTTTGCCATCATGACATTTCTCTGCAAAACCACCTGCTTTATCTGATTTGTTTCCAAAGACAGTTTTTAATCAAATAGTATTTCTTTTGGGAAGAAATTTTTTAAATGTTTGTATCACCTGCGTGATCTTTCCAGGTGATATTCTAAATGATAGAACAGTGATTTCCAAATGGAGGAGTCCTATAGTATCCTTGGAAAATGCTTCAGCATAAGAGAACCCCAAAACATAATGCAATGGAAAAGAAGGGCAAAAGAAAGTCAATCTTAGCAATGGCCAACTATATATACGTATATGTATAACTTTTTTTCTCTTTTAATCTTTCACTCTACTCTTTCCTTATGCCTCCACCAAACCCAATAACCCTTACTTTTGAAACTGATATTGGATGATGATTTTAAAGTAAACAACATTATGTCGTAGAAATTATCTACACCTCTAAAGATGGGCTCAAAGCCAAAGTAATATCTATTGGATGAAGGTATAATGGAGACTTTGAAAACGTGATTTTGTTCTACCACAGACAATCGAACAATTCAGCTAGTCTACCACAGAAACAAAAATAACTGGCTTCTTTTATCCTATGATGAATATAGTTTTGTTCTACAAGGGTTAATTTTAAAATAACTCTATAGGACAATAAAAGGATACAGATCTCAATATTTATGAAAGAAGTTTTTAAAGGTTATGAAAGATGGAGTTCTTTTTATTGCACATCTCTCTAATTCCTTTCATTGAATACTTATCTTTCACTGCCTTTTATTTCTTATCCCTTTTAGCCCTTTCTGGTCTTTCCTTTGCTGAAAAACATTACTTTCAAAGGCCCTACCAACTTGTACATAGTTTCAAACCTGATCTCTGTATCATAGAATACCCCAGACAGTATATTCCAAGGTTAACTATTTGAATTTGTACAATTTGTGGTGTCTTCTCCCTTCTATAATTTTTCTGAGGGAGAAGAGTCCTGGCATATAAATCAAGAAATAAAAAGAAGAGCCAATGCTGTGGCTATAGCAATGTAAGGTCTTTGCCTGTGTGGCCTCCCTCAAAATCACACATCCAATCCTTTAGAAACTTCTGAAGAAAATTTAAAGAGTTACCTTTGATCACTTATGTTACATAAAATTATTCAGAGAACTACCTTACATTTTGATGCTTTATCTTAATGCCTAAAAATTATTAATATTGCATTAAATGAGTATGGTAGGTTAATTTACAAATGTAAATCAAAAACATTTGAAAAATTACTCTAGGTACATTGGTAATATCTTTTCAATACTACATATACTTTGCTTCATTTGTCAATAATATCAAAAGAACTAAAATAAAACTAATAAAATATAGAGCATTGAATGACTCAGATGCAATAAAATTGCAAATGAATAAATACCACTCTTACACGGGTAAAGACTCCTTTAGTTTGCTATCCAAAATCTCTTTGTACATTGCAGCTGACACCACCTCTTCCATTGGACACATGATACCATATTCTTCACAGCCATTTTCTTGAACCAAAGGGTCAGTTTTATGAGGATCAAACATTATATTATTTGGTGTAACTAGCAGCACACCACTGACTGTGCCCTAAGATGAGAAAAGAAAAGTAATGTTTACTCTTCAAAGTTTAAATTTTCAACAAGCACTCTAGCTATATTTACTAATTTTCCTTAGGTGTCTGACCATCAACTATATATGAAAGTCTTACATTCAAGCTCTATGGCATTCTCATTAAAATGTTTTTATTTAAATAAAATCCAAATTATCCCAGTAAATTCTCCTCTTTACAATGGGCAAAATACAAAAGACATCATAGTCACCCTTAAACAATGAAGTAAATAATTTAATACTGAGTCATATCATAAAGATAATTCAGCTGTCTTTCTAATATAAAAGAATGTAAAAAGTCCTGAAAAGCTTGTCCAAGTTTTACTTAATTTACATAATGCTTCCTGTGTTGTTTTTTTACTAGAGTTACCAAATGTAGCTTAATGTATATAATGCAGACTAATAAGTAACATGCTGATAATTCAATACATTGTGGAAGTATGATAGTATGATTTATAAAAATGTTTTTCAAAAATCTGTTTTCATTGCTTACAATGGAGCCTTGGGCAAGTCAAGCCTCAGACTCTCACTTTCTTTATTTGTTAAATTAGGAAAATTAGAAGCCTTCTAGGGTACACTGTGAGCAATTTATTTGTGAAATGCTATGATATTTTAAATATATATTTACAAATAGCAATACAATTACAAATAGTGTATCACTCTTATTTTACAAGTGAACAAACTAAAGTCCACATGAAGTCATTCTCATTAATATTGGTTAATATTTATTGCATGCTTTGGATATAAATGATTTTATTGAGATTACTGTCCATTTTTATCTTCACAATTATAACTCTGAGTATACTGATAAGGAAACTAAGGTTAAACGATATTAAGAACTTTACTTAAATGATAAATAACATAACTAATAAGTGGTGGAATCAAGTTCAAAGCCGAGGTATAATCCCTGCCTTTTACTATAATCCCTCTGCATCTAAGTCAAAAACTAAATTACTCCCATTTTTAATCTCAGTTTAGCATCATATATAAGTGTAAAAATGTCAAAATCTAAAATTAAAACAACCAATTACTTTAAGCTGTCCTTTTTCAGAAGCCAGTAAAGAAAAACTAAATCCTGTTTGGTTTGATATTATACCATCCTTTCAATTTCCATATTTAGTTATGTGAATTTACCTGGTTAAATTTCATTTTGTTTTTTATTGAGGTAACAGCACAGAATCATACCTCTTCAGATGCATGTCACCACACCCACCACCAAAATCACTCAGATTCTTAGTCCTCCACAATAGTCCATTTGGCTCCCTACCCCTTTTGCTCTCTACTCTTCCCCTCCTCTTCAGATAGCTTAAATCTAAAAACTTAAAATACTACCAATAACAATGAGAAAGTAAAAAAAAAAAAAAGCGGTCTTCAATCAAAGTAGAAAAAGCTATTGCAGATGTTTACAATAATAAAGCATGCTTATTACTTATAGTAATTGCAAGCAACACTGAGAAAAGAATGTGTGTGTGCATAAGTGGACATATGCATTTTTTGGTAAGAAAAAAAGAATCAATCTGAAACTCTGCATTGTGTCTTTTAGTTCAGATCATGAATTAACTAAATAAGGAGTAACTTAAGATAAACCATAACCTAGTCATCTTTTGACTGGTATATTAAAGAGATCCAAATGCATCAGTTTGCATTCCTGGATCACACACTAACTGAAGTCAATGAAAGATGGTAAAGTATATTGTAGGGAAATTTACATTACCAGGGAAATATAAGAGATAGATAATTGAGACTAGCGTACATACAATGCAACATACTATAAAAACTTGGTCCAATCTTTAATGTCTTTTTCTGACTCATCTTCTAAACTTAATTTGAGAAATAAATCTAAACAATCTCTAAAGGTTAAGGAAAACTCTACATTTTCTAAATTCTATGTGAGGTTTAGCTATAAATGGTCCACTCACATAACATTGTATTTATATTTCTCACTTATACACACACAAACAAGATGATTACAAGATATACATAGTAGAAAAGTCCAGGTAATCGTAAGTCTGCAAATTAACTACATATGCTAATACTATAATTTTAATAATGTAACTTTAGAAATCATTTGGAAAGACTTCAAATGGTTCTTCTACTTTCTTAGATGAGAAGACACTTAAAGCCCCACACTTTAAAATGGAACTGATAAATTTGCTAATGTTACTTTCCAGGAATCCACACTTTCACACTACTATATTATTCTAGCTGTTTTTCCTGTGCCCAAAAAAATGGGACAAAAAAAAATTTGAAGGAATGTAGCTAAAGATTTTCAAATTTGATAAAAGCAGTAAACACACACCAAGAAATTGTGTGACCCCCAAGCAGAACAAATGAGAAAAATATACCAGTCACATTATAATCAAACTGTTCAAGTGTGTCTTATAGAGAATATCTTAAATATAACACACTGAAGGAAGACAGTATTTTGTACAGAATATCAAATATATAAACAGAAAACTTCTCTTAAGAAACTGTAACTCAGAAAACAGCAGAGTACAGCATCTTTAAAGTTCAGAAAGGAAAAAGAAAGCCCTGTCCACTTAAAACTCAATGACCAGTGATAACAACTTTCAAAAATAGAATGTCAAAAATATAAAGATAGCAACTATGCATATGAAAAGATTCTCAATATCAAAAGTCATTAGGAAATGTAAATTAAAACAGAGCTACCAGAAAAGGCTGATTAGCATGGTGAAAATAGAAAACACTGACAGCATTGAATGTTGGCAAGTTGTAGAATGGCAACTCTCTTCATTGGTGGTAGAAACACAAAAGAGTGTAGTCACTTAAGAGGGCACTTCAGTAGTTTCTTACAAAGCTAAGTATAGCATACGACTTAGCAATCTAATATATGATCTAGTGATCACATTCCATAGTATTTACCAAAATGTGATTAAAAATATATTTCTAGGGGCCCTCCCTGGTGGCGCAGTGGCAGACCTCTCCTGACCCGCTCCCTGCTCCCCTCAGCAGTGTACTTCGTTGATCTGCCTGTTCTGCTCCCCGCTCTGTCCCTGGTGAATCCTCTCACCCTCCGCATCTCTGGCCTGTACCCCAATTCTGTATGAATAAAAAAAAAAAATTCTATACCAGACTTGCATATGAATGTTAACAACAGGTTTATTCCTAAGTGCCCAAATTTGAAAGCAACGAAGAGATCTTTCAATAGCGGAATGATAAACTGGTACATCTATAAAACAGAAGTATTACTCTGCAATAAGAAAGGTGTTGTCAAGCCATAAAAGGCATGAATATCTCCTAAATGTATATTTGGAAACTGAATTTTGTAACCTTTCCTGAAAGTTTCCTTTTCCCGTAAAGAAGTAACAGTGCTACCTATTTCACAGGATTATTTTGACTTGATAAAATGACATCTCATGTAGTTTTTGGCATATAGTAGATATTCAATAAATAGTGGTTACCTCCCTATTTGTGTGTTATACCATGTTTACAAAAGTTATGACTCCAAAAAGTACCTAATGGTGGTAATTTTACATCAGATTTTTAAAACAGTCAACCAAAAACAATTTAGCTGTATCTTACTTAACACCTGCTTCAGATCACCAGACTGTAAATAACATATATGAAGGTCTAGAATAAACTAAGTTGCACCAATACATTTTTTAAATATTTAATTATCTGCTCATATTAATGACTTAATATGTAAATGGCAAGCTGTCAAAATTCACTAATAAATGAAACATGATTATTTTTTTTTCTAAAAATCATTCATTACCTTGCCACTGGTAATATATTTACAATTAATTTTAAGAAATTTTTCGGTAAATGCTTCTTCCTCTTCAGAAGTTGAAGATACAACTCGTGCAGGCCGAATACCAGTAGAAGTAGATGAAGGAATTGGTTCTTTTGGATGGACTACATCAGCATTCTTTAAAAAGAAAAAAAAAAGGCAATTCAGAGAACTAAAATAAGTACATTATAAAGGTCAAATGCATGGCCTACAAGAAGAAATATTGTTTCTTCTAATTACAATCAGGAAATCAGTCTAAAATATTATGTAAAACAGGAAAGGTACTTTTTTTAAAAACATACTCAATGAAGAGCTCTCACAATCTCAATTTATATTTTCAATGAGTTTTAAACTGGTGTGTGTGTGTGTGTGTGTGTATTCATGTTTAAAAACTATGTCCCCTGTAATCTCACTCCATGTACGCATATGCTCACACACCTCTCTCTCTCTCTCTCTCACATTCAAACAGTGAGATTTCTTCATAGACATTTTCTGGAAAGTAGTGATACTTACAGTAGTAGTTTTATCAAATTCAACCTCAGATGATGTTGGTGACAGAGGACTTATGGGACTTAGAGATGGAGAACTCTCAACACTGGAGACATATTCAGGATCAGGAACATATAAAACCTGTAAGAAAGCATTTGCACAAAGATTCAAGCTGAAATTTTAGTAATCAGAACATCTTCTTGTGTATGCAAGTACTATGACCTTTTGCAATAAATAGAAAATAACAAAAATATTTTCATTTAAGGAATTTTTATTACCGTCATAATTCCTACACAGTCAAAAAAAAGGTATTCAAATTAATATATAGACTACTTTGATAATTCTCATAAGCAGAGGGTATTTTTTAAAGGCAATCTGACCACAGCAAAATTTTATATACTTTCACTCAGCAATTCTATTTATAAGACTTTATCCTACAAAAATACCAGCATATAAAGAAAAGATATAGGTACAAAAAAAAAAAGTTTAAAGCTTTTATGATTAACCTACATCAATATATTGTATTATTATACACATGAGCAAGTCTGAAATCACATTGTGTTTAGATCCAAATGGATAACTGCAGTTGCTTCTAGAAAAGCAATCCAGATATGATACTTACCTTTAAAAATGTTTGAACTTTTTATCATATACTTGTACTATTCTATGTATTTTTTTTTTAAAGATTTATTTATTTATTCATACAGAACTGGGGTACAGGCCAGAGATGCGGAGGGTGAGAGGATTCACCAGAGACAGAGTGGGGAGCAGAACAGGCAGATCAACGAAGTACACTGCTGAGGGGAGCAGCGGGCGGGTCAGGAGAGGTCTGCCACGCCATGTGGTCACCTCCGGGGCAGGTGGGGATCGAACTCATGCGGAAGTGGCTTTAACTTCTTAGTGCTGTGCTTTAACCCACTGCGCCACCAGGGAGGGCCTATTCTATATATTTTTGAAAGTTCTTTAAATCTACATTTGAAAAGACAATTCACAAGTTTTCAATATTTATTAAGAAAAAATTCATATTAATAAGAAATAGATAATTTTTAGAGTCAGTATGGCTTAAAGAATACATAAAATTATTCTTCTTAACTTTTCCATATTGTTAACTATATTACAATGGAAACTTCTATTAAAACACCAATGAATTAAAAAAAAGATACCTGTCCAGTAACCACTGCTCTGGAGAATAACTTATTTAATTGAACAAGTTCGTTGGGTGTTGTATCAAATTTCAGGGCTATACTATTCAAAGAATCCCTCGATTCAACCTGTTTAAAAGAGAAAAAAATATGTTAATCTGTTTACAAAAAGACTAAACTATAAGCCAAGTGAGAAGGTTAATAAACTATGATAGAGAACTATGGGTATCTTGGTGGTGAGTATGTATTTCATACACAAAGCTGTAAACCAGAGATACTTTAATAAAAACAATAAAAAATTGTATGAATCTTGATTATTATATAATGGTAATACAGAACTATAAAGACTAAAAGCAAACTTGAAAACCAATCTAAAAGAGAAAGACTAGAAATGAACACAAAAAGACAACAGAGGGACATAATTTTTCCATAATTTCTTTACCTGGAAGGTAAGATCCAAACCAAGTATAAGGTTCCATGATAACACAAGTGTACACATTGTTCAAAATTGCTATTATCTTATTAACATTGTTACAACATTAAAAAACACAAAGCAACATAAATTCAGTTAAAATATTATTGCATGTAGATATCATTTAAAGAACATTTATATTTAATAAAATAAGCAGCACACCACAGCCTAAAGTAGATTTCTTACTTCAGTTTCCCATAGTAACCAGAAATGTTAAAAACTCATTGCAGGACATTTGAGGGTCATTTCAAGAACATAAGAAAAAACTTCCACTTTCAAAACTGAAGAAGATTTAACTATAAATCACTACAAGTAATCTATTGTGATAGGTTACTATGGAAGATTAGTGTCAATTTAACTTTTAAATTATTTTATCCCATTATAATTATCATATATGCTGCTGGGAATATGATTTTCACATTGCTAAAAAAGTAAATATTTTCCTGAAAGCCTAACTTAATAAAAATTATTATAGCACACTGACAGTAAGTTGTTATCTATACTAAATTAAATTTGGTGAAATAACTATCTTTGTGTTACAATAAACTATTTTTATTAGGAAAAGAAGCCTAAAATGCAAGTAAGAACTTATGACTTAATATTTTTAAGATGTTATTTATTTATTTATTTATGCATGCATGCAAGAACTGGAGTGTAGACCAAAGGTGCAGGGAGTGAGAGGATTCACCAGAGACAGAGAGTGAGGAGCAGAACAGGCAGACTGACTAAAATACACTGCTGGGTAATGGGTGAAAAAGGAGAGGTCTACTGCTCTATGTGGGTTAGCTCCCAGGCAAAGGATCTAATTTATGCCATAGTGGCTGTCCATAGCTTGATGGGGGTGGAGACATTAACCCCTGCACCACCAGGGAGACACCACTTAATGACAATATTAACGAAAGTTACTGAAAGTGAAGTACCCCTTCAAAAATAGGAAGTAAAAATTTCTAATTTATACTAACACAAAGATTGCCCTTTATAAGACTATTACAAAGATAAGTCAGCTTTTCAAATGCAAATAACTTACAGTATATTCAATAGTTCCTTTAGGTTTCTGAAAAGACATTCGTCTCCCATCTTTCTTGTCTAGGGTCTTCTTTTGGCCAGTGTCTGGAAAAAATTGGGCACAAATCCTATTAAATTCATTTTTCTTTTAGAGCAATGTCAAGTACTATTAAATAGAGCTCATTGGGAAGATACCTAATTCACTATAAGTATAGCTTGCTGCCCAGGTTTCTTTGCTACAGAAAACAAGCAACTGGCAAAAAATTGCTTTAGAAACTGACCACTAGGAATTGAAGCAGTCTAGTAATTGGAAGTCAATTCAAAATATAAATAAATGTTAGAGGAAGGGGAAAAATTATTTAAAAAAATAATATAAAATAATAATTAAGTATTTCTTTCAACACACAGCCTGAGTATAAAATCTACTATTTTATTACTATTATTTAATTTTTATTACCATTAATTCAAGTCTAAAAAATGTAATTAACAGTTCTTACACACAAAATATCTATAATTCTGCAATTAAAGGTAGGTTTCTTTAGGAATTACTTTAAACAATTAAATTCCTTATTTACATACCTTGAAGAAAAAGTTTTTATATATAAACATAAACATAAGATGGTTTTTCATATATAAACATATTATGAGACATTTCATTTCAGATAAAGTGCCAATTATTTTTCCATTGCTTACTAGATATTTCACATGAACATGTCATTATCACTAGGATATGTTTTAATTTAAATTCTACTTTAGCACTAACCTTTTCATCTATACTTCAGTAAATTGATAAAATGACACTCCACTTGGGACATTTAACAATTATTAAAATCTTTAAAAAAACTAAGAAATTAGATAGCAAATATAACAAAATGTTCAACTCACCCCTCATCATTTAACAAGTTTTTAAAGAAAAATTAGTTCCATCTGACCCAAATTGTCCAGAAAATATCTACCACACTCTTCTTCTCTAACCATTTTGACATTTGACTATATTAGTTTATTCTATATCACTGAGCTCACATGAATTAATAATGAAGCATGAATAATATTACTCATACTTCAGTTAATATTATTCAAAATATTAACACTGCAATGCTTAAGCAAAACTGTCCTAAAACTTTCTGATCACCTAGTCAAACCCAGTCCTGTCATTAATCACACAGTATCTTTGTCCCCTTCATAGCATTTGCAGTTTTGTTTCTATTTATTTTAACTCTCTTTCACTAACAATTTTAACCTATAAAATGCTATGCCTTCTTCCAAAATGCCTTTTCAGTGCCAACAAAAAGGGCCTAATATAAGTCAAATATTTAATTTAAATTAACTAATGTTCCAAAACAAAAACTGTACCCAGAAAATCATAATCTTTATAAGTGTCATTAATTTTCCATAAATAAATAATTATGGTTCATTTATAAAACTACAGATAGATAGAGCTCCTTTTCTATCCTAAATATTTAAAGAACCCTTAAAAACTGAGGAAGAATAAAAGATGAAAACTTGCAAAGAAAAAGAGGCTGAGGTAAGGATGAGAAAATTCACAAGAAAATACAGAAATGGCCCTTACTATACTGAGATAACATTTCTAAATATCAGAGATTAGTAAATGTTCAAAAATACACCATATACTGTTTTACTGTAGAAAAGGAGGTAATCTACATTTATGGTGTAAATGCAAAATATGCACCTGTGGAAAGGAATATTATTTTTGCTTATCACTACAGTCTATTTTCTTCCTCTATGGAAAAGCATTTTATATTTGATTACTATGGTAAAACAAAATGCTAAGAATTTCAAACAGCAATCTACATGTTATTTCATGAACAGCAGAGGGAGCTAACTCATTCCTCATCTTGCAATTTAAACTTTAAAAGCAATACAAAACACATTTACAGATTGCTTCTAATTAGTAATATGTATCTCCCCTTAGTTGATTTTAGGAATAACCATTACCACATTTACTTGCCCAATACCTTTTACATACCTGTTACATAATGCCCAAGAATTCATTAAGCATGTAATAACAATGAAATGTATAATTGCACTATCATTTTCAAGAGTTCACCAAAACAAGAAAACTAAAATACCAGCTCTCCATAGTTTAAAGCTTCACATACTGCAAGTATTCATTTTCATAATTTCAAATGACAGAATATGCTGTAATAACTATATATTGTAAAAAAGTAGTTATACTTTTTTTTTTTTTTTAGATTTATTTATTTGTGCATACAGAACTGGGGTACAGGCCAGAGGCTCAGGGGAGGTGAGAGGCTTCACCAGAGACAGAGTAGGGAGCAGAACAGGCAGATCAAGGAAGTACACTGCTGAGGGGAGCAGCGGGTGGGTCAGGAGAGGTCTGCCACACCATGTGGTCACCTCCGGGGCAGGCGGGAATCGAACTCATGCGGAAGTGACTTTAGATTCTCAGTGCAGTGCTTTAACCCGCTGCGCCACCAGGGAGGGCCCAAAAGTAGTTATACTTTTAATAATGACTACTAAAACATTTATTCATAAAGATGAGTACCATCTTTATAAAATGATAATTTTATTTTTCATTATAAAAATATAATCATCATAATTGAGACTTGAAAGTAAACAAAGCTGTTTACTAATTCAGTTTCTTACTTGGTTAAGTTTATAATACTTTTTTAAAGACAGCTGCCAAAAAAAATTTCAATCTAGATTGGCAGGAAGGAAAAGAGGAATCCTATTCCTCTTCTTTATAAAAGTTACTAGTTTAGCAATATGTACATATTTATGATATATTTAGTAATCAAAACAATAGTTAAAACTCATCACATGTCTAGTACATCAAGCCATTGTCCATTGTACTAAGTATTTCATATTTATTATCATCTAGTTCATCAACCCTACAAAGTAGGCATCATTTCATTACCATTTTACAATTGAGAAAACTGAAGCAAGTTTTGATAATTACAGTGGGAGGGAGTGTTAATGGTATCTAAAGGGTAGAGGTCAAGGACTCTGCTAAACATCTTGTGCTAAACAAAGCACACAACAGAGCCTACTCACCAAAGAATTATCTATCCCAAAATGTCAACATAGTCAAGGCTGAAATATATACAGCAATTATTATTTTTTATTAGTTATAATATGTTGATTTTATTGCTTATAATATTGGCAATATATTGCTTTTATTGATTATATTATTCATTTACTTTCCATCTTCTTCTTACTAATTTGGAAATTACACATCTTTTAACAATTCACTTAGTGGTCATCCTAGAGAATACAGCCTGAATTTCTGACTTATCACAGTATAATATAGTATGTTTATCCTCTTCCTGAGCAATTCAAGTTAAAAACGGTATGCCCTTGCAAAGCTTATATTCATTAGTTAATAGATATTTTACTTTTGTGTGTATATAAAAGACAGAATATGACATGATTTTTCTACAGTCAACATTTACTTTGCCCTCAGGTGTACCAGTTTCATTATATCTCTGGGTATTTACACAGGGAACAGATTCTTGGTTGCAGGTATTTCCTCTGGTAGTTTAGTTTCTACTGCTTATTGAAAAAAAAATCTTATTGCTACATGATTGACTACTTGCTCTGATTAGATTTACCAGCTTCGGTGGAATATGTACTGATTCCACTAAGTGTGTATATGAATGCTTAAACCTGTGAATGAAAGCATTTTATCAATTTTGAAGTTTTCAGCCATTCTCTTTAAATAATGTTTCTGCCCCTATTTCTCTCTCCTCTCCTTCAGGGACTCAAACACCCATAACTAAGAATTATTTAATTTCCTCTTCCACGAAGTGTACCCTATATTTTCTATCTCTAAAAAAATATTTATTTATGCACACAAGTACTGGGATACAGGACAGAGGTATGGGGCAGGGGTTGAGAGTCATCACCAGACGGAGTGGGAAGCATAACAGGCAGATGGAATGAAATACACTGCTGATGGGAGACAGGAGAGGTCTGCTGTGCCATGTGGGATACCTCCCTGGCTGGGTTATCGAATTCGTGATACAGTGGCTGTGGATAGTTTCATGGTGCTGAGACTTAACCCACTGAGCCTTGAGGGAAGGCTATGATTTTCCATCCTTGTTTGTTCTGGGTTTATTTATTCCCTCTCTCTTTATTCTGAATTTTTCCTTCTGATGTATCAACTCATGAATTCTCTCTTCTTGGTGGCTAATTTGCTGCTGAATCTATTCACAAAGATCCTAATTTGAAAGATTACATTGTTCAACTCCTGAATATCCATTTTTAAAACTTTGTTCTACAAATTTCTCAATTAGCTCAAAATTTCAACAGCTATTTTAAATCTGATAACTACAGTATTCAGTATTCCTATGGGTTTGTTTCTCATGTCTTTGAAAAGACACCTAATTATATTTGGTATGCTGAATATTAAATTTGCAAAACTGCATAGAGTCAGAATTTGACACAGAGAAAGTTGTATTTCTCCAGAAAATATTAATGAATGCTTCTGCCAAATCCTTGAGGACACTAGGCATATTAGGTCTTTTTCCATGAAATTACAGGAATGATGACTTTAAGTTGATCAATGAAGTCCTGCTGCTTCCGTTTTCGTGTATTCCTAAGGTACAACATTTTGAGATACTATGTTACAGGAGCTCACTCTTTCCCTATGGTAAGGCTTGTCTGTCCCTGTATGTTTATAACCACAGGTTGTCAAAATCAACTGTTTTTTAAAGGTTAACTTTATTTATAGATACAAGAGCTGGGGTACAGGCCAACGATATGGGTTGTGAGAGGATTCATCAGTGACACAGTGGGGAGCAGAGCAGGTGGATCAACTGAAATACACTGCTGAGGGGAGCAGTGGGTGAGATAGGAGAGGTCTGCTGTGCCATGTGGGTCACCTCCCTGGCTGGGGATCGAACTCCTGCTGCAGTAGCTGCCAATAGCTTGATGCTGCTGAGATTTAGTTCCTTGCACCACTGGCGTTTTAATCATCCTGTTGCTTTTTCTGGAACCAACACATTCCCTAGGGAAGATGTAATCTCAAACTGGAACTGCTTCATGGGCTTCTGTCCTCACTCAGAGCATACCTAGTTCAGGTAGCATTGCAATACCCTTAGTCAAGTTTGTTTTTACCCAGG